TTCCGCCGAATCCCCTTCATATTTTCCCCTGTTTTCCACAGTTTTCCTCTTGTCCTTCCTCTCCTCTCTTCCCCCCGCCTCTCCCTGTCGTGAACTTTTCCCTTGGCCAACCGCCCACCGCATGTGCGTATTTGCATGGAGCAGCGGCGAGTTTAAGACCGTTTGCTGTGAGTCTTGTTTATGTTTCAAAGTGTGTGCGTGCACTGGAAAAAATGAAAGAACACTTAATACAAAATTTAATTTCCAGTTTTGATGAGAAAACATATTTACTCAACGAGCTAATAGATTCTAGACCCTGAATTTTTCTGCAAAAATTAGATTTTTACCAAGATTTGCGATATTTTTATTCGGGTTTATGGTCAAATCGAGAGACACAGATACAAGAAATACTGCTTAAAGCAGCTATAGAGTAAAGCTAAATGTTTCTATACTATTCCAGACAATTTTGAGAAAATCAATTTTTTCAATTTTCGGATTTTTGGTGAGGGGGTACAAATATCTAATTTTGCGAAATATGGCCAAAAAATTACATTTTAAGCTGTGAATGCAGTTTTGTTAGGAATCGAAATACAAACATAACGAGGTATGACATTCAATATTCCGACCATTTTTGGGTTTGCTATGCGAAAAATAATGATTTTTGGGGGGGAAATCAGGGTGATCCAAACGCATTTTCGAATTTTGCAAAAAAAGACCAAAAAATTAAATTTTAAACTGGGAATGCAGTTTTTCTGGAAATTGAATTACAAACTCAACGAGGTACTACATTTCATATTCGGACTAGTTTACCATACTCCATCTCTTAGAGCAAGTAAGTGAAAAATATTTTATTTTTAAATTTCATTTGTGATACAAACCTCGTTGGAAACTGTTTTCTTAGTGTACTACCATGTGTGGTTATGTACATGTCTGCTGGCTTAAGCTAACTTTAAATTACGCTTAGCGACTGAAATTAATTTACGCAACGCCACGAGGACCAAAACAACAAAACATCGCCGGCAAATGTGCAAATGTGTCGAGTGGGGCGAGGGCGAAACCGCTCTTGGATGGCTAAGGGCGTGGCTGGGGGGGTGCGGACTAAGCCTCTTTCGGGGTTTGTGCATTCCATTGGGCAAATCTGCAAAATCTGTGTCCTAGGTCGTAAAGTCATTTAATGCGTCGCGCAAAGTGGAAATCATTAAATGCGCTTGTTGAAAAGGCCATTTGATATATCGGAATCGAGTTGGTTGAAGCTGGGTCGGTTTTTGGACAGCTCTTGACGGCTGCGAACCGCATTTGGGTTCCAGATTAATTGCGGATTGTTCCGGGATTGATTTATAGTCGTTTTGAAGGGTGATATATGGCCTTTATTTGGATGCAAGGGAAGTGAAATTAAAAATTTATTTATGTTTTCAAAATGCGACTAGATATTCTAATTAGTTTAATAAATAAACTCCAAAAAGGAGGTTATTTAAGATTTATTATAAGCTAAAAATGTATTGACAAATACGGTTGTTTATCCAGCACTGACATGCTAGGCTTCCCGTCATTCCTCAGCACTGGCCTACAAATGAGACATATAAATAAGCACTGAAAAGTCATCGATTTATCCCCCTTTCGCTCACTAACTTGACCATTTGACCAGCTAATTTCCAATAAGTTTTGGGAATCAATCAAATTTCACAATTGCCCTGCTCCATCAACGGGGCTCAGTGATGGATGGATTGAATTGGGATTGGGACTGGGATTGGAAATGGCTCGCTTTCCGACTCTCTGGCCATCGGTCAGATACATTGCTCTTATCTTTTTGCGGTTCCCCGCCCGAAAATTGTCATTTTGATGACCTTAACAACCTCGAATGTTGCCCAAACCCGCATTTTATTTGCGCCGCTGCCTGTTTGCTGAATGATATTGGAATTTTGCCTGGTGCCCGCCCCTTGTTGTTTAAGTGCCGCAAACATTTCGCTGGTGGAGCGTGCAAAACAATCAAAAAATTTGCTTTTCACTGAACAGATAGCAAAATACACAGCTCAGAAAATAAAAATAAAAGCCGAGAGCATGAAGAATGAATGAAAAAAATACGGAAGCATCCGGAACATCAGTGGGAGGCATTTTTCAATTGTGTTAAAAGAAATTTAATATGAAACTCATGCTGTCTATCGATTTTTAATTTTGATTTGCTAAAGCCCATGACTCTTTGTTGTGGTTCCTCTGCCGTGGCAAAAATTTTGATACTCCCCTGGGAGAAAAGGAATCGAAAGGCTGAAATGGCTTTCCAATTTTTTTGTTGCATACTTTTTCGCTAGGAACTTAAAAAGTTGGTTGCCATGCATGGCTGGTGTTGTATTAAATTTAAGTGCTAAAAATAGCAGAATAAGTAATATCAGTTACTGTATTGATTATGATGAAAAATCAGTAGAATGCACCTATCATATACTCTATAAAATGCGTATTTTTTTTCATGAATTAGTTCTATCGCAGGGTATCCTGTGAATTCGTTCATTCCCTGCCGACTGATGTTGTTATTTGTTTGAATATATATCCACTTTATATTAATGTGGACTACGACTCAGCTGACACATTTCGCATTTTGGGTGATGGATGAGCGGCAATAATTTCTGCTATTTATGCAAACGTAGCTTGTTGTTATCAATGGATGGTCCCAAGTTCCCCAGTTTTCCCCAGTTTGCCCGGAATCAGCCCAGCTTGCCTCTTTATGCGGGTCAACGTTTAACCTTTACCTTGGCGAGAGACATACATCAAAATACACAGATCAAATGCTGACTTTTTGGGGCCTGGAAAAGGCAACACGTGTGTTGTTTCCAGCCCGATGCGACATCTATCGGAGATATGGAAACATATATATTTTCTATATAGGCGGGGCTCTCCACTTATGCAAATTGAAATGCAAATAAGCCATGCCGACTGTATAGGCGTTTTATGTTCAAATCTCCTCGAAAGTCGGCTGCCTTTTGTGTTTCCCAACTCGTATTTGTGTATTTTGTATTTCGTATTTCGTATTTTGTTATGGCACGCTTTATTGAATTCATTTAAAAAACAATTTATCTTTTCGCATGCTACCGTTGCCGTCGCTGCCGCTGCCGCAGCCGTTGGGAAAGGCTTTTTCCTTTCTTCTCGTTTTGTTCCACAGAAGCGAAAACCTTGGAAAAAATCGGCCAGAGTTGCAGCGCCTTTTGTCTAACATCCCAATTAGCCTTTTGTTTCGATGTCAATGCAAAACAGCAAACCCTTCTTTTTCACTATTTTTCGTTTTTCACCCATTCATTTCGAGTCCAAGCTGTGAGCATAAAAAATTGAAAGGATTTTTCCTCCTGTCGGTCACGCCTTTTAAGGATCACAATTGCCTTTTGTGCGCCGCCTCCTGTCAATGACTAAATGTATGGCTGTACAGAAAAATGAGGAAAGAAAGAAATCTGATGGCCTTTTAACAACTAGAACTTGGCTGGAAAAAACGGGAGTTTTCTTTTGCTTCTGAGTGAGGATATGGCTTAATGGGCGGTTCTACAGAAGTTCCTTTGTAGAGAGGTTAAAGCGCTTGAAGGGAACCACTTTAAACTGGTCAATATTGAGTGATATTCTCCTGAATACATTACAACTATTTCATTGCTTAGATATATATTTTATATATTCCTGAAATTTAAATCAGATTCCTCTTAATAGGAAATGGAAAACTCCCTTCTCCGCCTTGTATACATCTCAGATATTTTCGCGCCCTCTTCTTGTTTTGCACCATTAGTCTGGATCCCAGGGCCACATAAATCAAGCAAATTGTTTAACGGGCGATTAGCGAAATTGTGTTATAATAATTCTTATTTTATTTTCGGCGCCTCGGCGCTGTTTCATTTCGCTGCTTACACGTTTTTGGCATTTGCATGTTCCTGTGGCTGCTGCTACTTAGCGGAAACATGCAGTACATGTATCTGCCGGATCATTTATTTATTATGCTTGTCGTCTGGCGGTGCCTGCCCACTGCCACACCTCGGCCTCCGCCTCCACCTCCGCCTCCGTCTCCGCCCCTTAACCTTGCGATGGGCCTTTGTCTGGCATGTATTTTGAATGGCCTGTTGAAATTTTCCAAGCGATTTGCAGCATACGCCGCATTGAATGTTTTTCTCGATCCCTCCCTCTGCCATTATTATTTTTGTTGTGTTTTTTGCCGCTTTCTGTTGTTCAGCATTCACGCTCAAAATGCTGTGGAAAATGATTATTATGATTAATAAATAAATATCCTGGCAGCTCTCTGAGCAGTATTCAACGCATTTTGTTCAAACAGTTCGAAAAGTTTCCACCCTTCCCAGTTTTTCCTACTTTCCCCTTCATGTTTTTCAGTTTCATAGGGATTTTCATAATGTAAGAGTTTGAAATTAAGTTGCGTATACGCAATGTGTTTACACGTATGTACAGCGGGTGTCTGCCTATGGGAAAGATATTTCTATCTTACACTATGTGAATGAAGAACAAAAAATAATCATAAATAATATATATAATTATTATTAAATTTATTCTAAGTTTCGACACCTATTTAACGATTTTCCTTGTTCCTCATTAGCAAAGTTTGCGACTTTCGTAATCACTTTTCATCTCCAGACCCTGATATCTTCTCCTGCCAATGTATAGCAATGATTTTGGGCAACAGCTGCGCCAGATGGTCCAAAGGGATCCAGGGAGGTCCCGAAGGGAAGCCATCAACTTGTTTGTAATGAATTATCGCCAGCAGATGAACATTTAATGATGTACAATGGCATCGATGACGTTGTCGCCGGCAATTTTAATAAATTTAACAGTCGAACGGCCGAGACTTGGGTGGCGCATCCTTCATCTTTTATCGCGAGGGAAAACAATCCTGCCCTCGCTGGCAATTAAATAAATGTCCTTAACCCTTGACATCGCCGGCCAGCCAGCTCATTGACAGCCATCAGCCATCAGCAATCGGCCATCAGCGTGGAATTTATGGGACCAGGCCTGTGTCTGTGATTTATCGGCCCATTGCACAAACTTACCGATAATTCGAGTTGAGCTGCACATCGCCAATGGCCACGTTCTCGAACAATGTGGGACAGCAGGTCCATCGTGCCCAGTAGAAGGTGAAGTCGGTCGAGTCGTAATGCTCGGTGAAGCGGCACTTGAGCACCAGATCGACGCCCTCACGCGTGTCCAGCGAATCGTCCCCGGAGATCAGGCCAATCGAGAGCCAAAGGTGACCTGCAATGACACAGAAAGTCGATTACACCAGCAAAAATACATGGCATAAAATAAAATATATAAAAATATGCACTTTTAATACGTTCGAGACTGCTTTTTCTCTTAGTCGTACATACAACAACATTTGTTTCCGGATAACTGGCAGCGGCAATTCAATTACCTTGTGCAAATTTCAGCCCGCGTACATTTAATTAAGAGAGAACCCGTCGAAATCCAGCTCAAATTCGTATAACAACATTGATATAGCCTCGCTGCTAAACTGATTTGATTTATTTTTTCACTATTATTAACGCAGCAGAGCAAAAACGAAAATCAATACCATCGGAGCGGCAGCGCCAATGGTACATGCACCAAAAATAAAGAATCAACAATGCAAAAAAAATGTATATAGAAGTGGTATTGTAGAAACTCGTGGAAATTGTAAATCTATACCACAAAAATGAATAATTCACATGCCACGCCAACCAAAACACAATAGCCAGGGAGTGGAAGAACTGCATCCAAATTGGTTTGCGTTCCCGGAAAGAATTTCCACACAAATTGCGGGATTCTTTACCCATTAAACGAGTTTTCGTTTTTGTTTATTTCAAATTGGATTTTTAAGAATATGTTTTTATAAGATAAGAATATTAAAGTATTTGTTATGTATTTAATTTTTTAATTTTACAAGCTATCCATCAGCATTAAAGGTAAAAATTAATATTTAAATTTCATTCCACTACATTAAGCTTTACTGTCCCAAAGTTTTTGTTTGCAGAAATCAAGGAAAAATCTTTCGGAGAACCAAATTAACCGGAAATAATCGAAACAAAATTTATTGCTCGCATGGAGTATCCAAAAAAATAATGCGTGCAGCATGCCAAGACTTTTTTGCGGGCGTTAAATATAATTTTAGCATGCGAGTTTCCGCGTTTTTATCAACTCGAAACTATTTGAGCATAATTGCTGGTGAAAAATCTGGAAAATAAGTTTTCCGGAAACAATTCCAATCAAATTTCGCTAGCTGCGCTTCCTTGCTCGTTTCTTTTTTATATTTCTGGTGTGGGGGAAATGAAACTTTGAAGCTTTTACTTGTGGTCGTTTTACAGTTTTAGCAGCACCGGTCAAATAAAACTAAGCACGCAGTTTAGTTTGGCGTGTTTTTCCCTTTTTTTCGAGTGTGTATTCAGCTAAATGGAGCAAATGGTCGAGTGGACGCCATTGGGTCGAGTGCTGGCCGGAAAACGGGGGTGGGAAAGCGAGGGAAAATGGGGAAAGTGCAGGGGATGGGGCAGTTGTTTGCACATGCAGCGCTTAGTTTTAATTTGTCTGCCTGAATTTTAGTTTTTTGTGTGCTCCTGCTTTTTATATTCTCCGCTTTCCTTGTTTTTCCACTCCGCTCAATTTTCATGTATTTTGTTGAAGCAAATCTGTTTTTTGTGCAATCTGCCCATCCATAGATGTATGTATGTTTGTGGAAAATTGTTACCCAATTCGCCCTCCATTGTTACGCTCGCTTTTTCCTATGAAGCCATATATTTAACGAAGCAACAGCTTTATTCTGTTGGGGATTTTTGGTATATAAGCGCATAGTACAAAACACAAACAGCTCAATGCACTGCGGCTGCAGTTTCGATTGCTTCCATGGCTCAAATGTATGCTACGTTTTTTCGCCAGCTGCCGCTGCTACTGCTATTCCTTCCGCTTTTCCTTTTTTGATTCAACCATGTAGAAACTTTTGGGCAGCACTCTCTTGCTGTTATTGTAATTAACAGTCGGCAAGACAAAAAATTGAAATATTCGGAAAAACAAGGCTTCCGGCATTTCTTTGCTTTAAGTTGGTATTTTCCCTACAATACCTTTCTGATAGGAATGCTAACGGTTGAAAAAATATATTATAATAACTTTTTATTACATGGAAAGGATTTCATAAGAGAGTTACTCGAATTAAAAGCATACCTTCTACACTCGTATTCTATCAGCCGATTTGATTGATTTAATATATAAGTTTGTTGTCAATTATTACTATTATTATAATTATAATTATTATTATTATTTAAAAAGGCATTTTTGTTTATTTAATAGCGTAGAATACAAACAGGTAGCCAAAGAATTTGCACAATTATCCCCTTTTAATCATCCTTCTAATATCAATCTTCTAATCGGACGAATTTGTAAACAGTTGCCAAACCAATTAGAGGGCAAAATCGCAGTTCGATCAACGAAGGTAATTTGAAAATTCAGGGAAATCAACATGAAAGCGAGTATGAGCGGAAAAGCTGACTGCGAATCGGGTTTAACATTTGCTTTGGCTACCGATTTACATATTTCCAGGCAAATAATTATGAATAAGCGACGAGCTTGTCCCTCGAGGGCCTTCAATTGCCATGACCACGACCCCGCCGCCCCTTTGTGCATATGAAAACATGAAATGCATATGCATATAGATTTCATTTGCTTTATATAAGTTGATTTCGAAAGCGGGGGCGGGAGAGGTGGCGGAAAATTACTATGAGCATGTCGAAAGAAAAACACTTTTTTGGCCAGAGCTCGAGGAAAAACTCACTATAAAATGTGTCGAAGTTTTTCCGGGGCCTTCCCTACCCCAGCCTGTTTTCTTTTTTGGCCTTAAGGCTGAAATGTATTTTGCAATTATTTAAACAAGCTTTTGCAATCTGATGGATTTTAAAATGTAAATTAACTTTGTTTGCATACGAAAGTTTTCACTCGCAGCGGAAAAACTTATTCCGTCCCATATGTGTGTGAGTGTGAGTGTGTGCATTTTGTAATAATTAGCCATCATTAGAGTTTCGGCAAAGTTTTCCACCGTCTCACTTTTCCTGCCAGCTTTATGAATTTTTCAATTGTTCGCTGGAGAACCGAGAACTGAGCACTGAAAACTTTATCTCCACTCAGTTCAGTTGAGTTCAGCCCGACTCGAAAAGCTTAAACATTCATAAATGCAAGTGCACACTGCACTTGAAGAAATGAATGAGGTAAAGGAAACTTATCTTTTTTGATAAATTTTCATATTTTCTTATGAATCAAAGAATTGTCTTTGCTCTTATCGGCATACTATAACACCTATTACTTTAAACTTACAATTTCTAAGACACTTTTTCCTTCTCTGTAGAAAGGGGGAGAAGCATGAAGTCGGAGTTCGTTTGGACCAAAAAGATGCCAAAGCAAAAGTCAAGTCTGGCCAAATGCAACCCAAACAAACCCAAAGCAAACAACAAAAACTTTATACACACTCGTAAAAAAAATGAAACTTTTTCACTTTATGGTATAGTTTTTTTGTTGTTTAGTTTTTTAGTTTCTGTGGCTGTGGTTATTCTTTTTTGCGTATGTCGAGTTGGACTTTGTTTGGGGTCGACGACGCGTCGTCTTCATAAACACAAATGGCATCATAGGCATGGCATGTGGGTAAATATGAAGTCCTTAGAATAGAGCCAGGGTGGAATGCTCTGAGCTAGCCGAAAAAGTGATATGATATGATTGAATAATAAATAAATCTAGGTTAATACAAATAACGCCTCACTTGGCACATCAACAACTTTTTGTATTGACGAAAGGCTACAACGAAAAAGCCGTTTTAATTGAATGACTTGCTGAAAAGAGTGATTGTTTTTTGAATCATTTAATGGTGATTTAATTAATTCAAAAAGTCAGTGATTTAAAAATAAATTCAGTTTGTTCTCTTAGCTTTTATGTTTTATTTTATTTTAGTTTTAAATTATTTCTCATGCAAATAATTCTAGAGTTAAGTACTTATTTGGCTCTAACTTGCTTCCAAGTGAGACATTTAATGCACTTATGGCTAGCAGGGGGCATAATCAAACGAAGTGTGTTGCACTTTGGTTGCAACTTCCCCTGCAGCAATTTGAGTTTCCGTCACTTCCTTTGCCCCCATAATTTTCCGCTTTCCCCCACAGCCGCCAGCCATGGAACATACAACACTGGTACATCATTTTCTGGCGGTGTCTGCTTGACTTGTTTGTAATTATTTATTTCGCATAGAGTGTGGCAGACTCTGTGCGTAGACAAGAATTATGGCATTTCGGGCATTGTGTGTGTGATGTCTGGAGTTTTTAAAACAGATTTCATGCTACAACGCCGACAAGACCATGAGCGGGATGAGGTGGGAAAATGTTTTTCCCGAACAAAATGCAACTAATGTGTGTGGCCGTGTGTGCGGGGGTGTGTGTTACACTTAAAACAAGCTGTTTTCTTGGCTCGTTTACTTGTGGCTTTCCCCGGCTGTTGTTGAGACAACCCCTGGATTTTCCCCTTAACCCTCCCCTCTACAATTTTCCCTGTCCAGCTTCTGCTTTTCTTTTAGCTTAATGCGAATTTCTGCTCTTAACATCAGCCATTGTTGTTTTTTTTTGTGTGTTTTGAGTATGAGTGTGTGTGTGTGTGTGGCATATAAATATAATATGTAGTCTTGCCTCCTGCCATTGTTGTTGCAAAATATATTACTTTTTAACCTCGGAGTTCCAGGGAACTCCCCGCTCCCCTTATTTTTGCTCATAACAATTACAACAATAGCAATTGCTGCCTGAAAATCAACTATATGTATATGCGGAGAGCTTCTTGGCCAGTGACGTAGCTTTGGACTTGAAAAGGGATTAACTTGGAAGCTGGGAAGCCTTTGGGTCACCAAAGGAATTGCAAAAATCAGGGAATCGGTTTTTGGTTCGCATTTGAGGTGCAATTTTCTAATGGCTTTTGGGTAAAAGGAAAACAAGCGAGGGCTTAGATTGTTAAGAATAGTTTTGCAACTAACTCAGAAATATTAAACTCTATCACTTTTTTAAATTTCTTGAATGAAAACGGGGGCTATGAATCTTACTGAAGTTGGAGTTTTACATGTGTAAATGCTGTTCCGATTAATCCCCCTTTTCTAAGAGCCTTTCTATCCACATCTCTGACCATATTTCCAAGTTTATGGCTCTGTGCTCCGTGTAATGTGTTGCTGACATGCGCTAAGTTGTTGCGGTTGCTTTTGCTATTGCTTT